TTATCTTGGTAGGCACTTGAACTTTCTCCTGACCGTATCCATAGGGCTGCTATCAAATAGATGTTTGTCATTTCTTGCTTTGAAGAACCGTTCTTTTTCTTATGCTTAATAGATTATGAATTGCACCACTCTACGTGATTTTGGTTTTGGCACTTGGATTTTCTCTTCAGTGGTTGAGTGCTATTGTGAAGGGTTTTAAAATTCTTTCTGTACTAACCCTTGATCTCCAAAATGCCATTGATAAAAGAACAGAAACACTAAACAATCACATTAGAATCTCCTATCAAATTTGTGCTCAGGTCATGTTAGCAGTAGGTCAGAACAAACTGTGTTTTCCTTATCTGCAGAAAATTATGCTCATTTAGAGTGTGGTTGCCTAAATATGTGGTGACTCAGGAGAAAATATTTTCTGTTATGTTTTTGGTGTTTATTTTTCCCACAGGACTTCGTAAATTTCTCCTGTTCCTATTCTCCCTTTTATTTCCCTTTTATTAGATTTTAGTAGGATTGGAAAAGAATGATGAAGAGATGCTTTGTGGTCTAGTCCTCACATTAACAGACAGTGATTACTGCTGGGTGAGGGGCAATGTGTTAAATTACACAAATAATTGATTATGATTATACCAAATTTAATTTCTAAATATAGCTGCTAGAACCGGAATATGGAACATGAAAATATCATAAATTTTTCTGTTTCCCCCAGATTTTCCCAGTCTACCCTACGAACAGAGAAAACAGTAGGAAAATGTTTCTTCCTTCAAAGAGTTCCTAATTTTTTTGTTCACATTTTTATTTGAGAATTTACAGAGCTATAGGTAAACGTTGCTTCATTTATTTAGCTTTGGAAATAGATTTTAAATTTTGAATTGGGATATGTTTAGACATGCTGAGACTTGCAAGCATTTTAGGTAAAAAGGGTAATATATTGATAAACCTAATAATGAGATTTCATGAGGTAGCCTGTTTTTTCTCCCCTCTGTGCACCTTCATGCCTTGTGAATGGTGCCTGGGGCTTGCTTCTTTACTTGTAGTCCACTGTCTACCTGGTTCCTTGCTGACTGCTTTTGGGGCAATATCTTGGAAAGGTAATTTGTTTTATAGCTTAAATAAAAAGTCTTGCCTTGGGATTAGCGGGGAACAGATAGAACTAAGACTGAGATTGAGATGATACTCCATGTAATATGGGGAGAAATCTGCAGGGAGAAGTCAAGTGGACACTGAATACTTTTTTATGATGCATGGTTCATTCTCTGGTAATTAAGTTTATGCATATTGTCAGGACACGGTATCCAATTTAAATTTTCTTTTTCCTGAGACTGTATGGGATATAACATGTTTGCCTTTTGTCCTCATTCATATGCTCATTCCTAAGATGATCTGCCCCAACTGGAAAAAGAGGGAGCTGGGGTTTTACATTTGGGGGACCTGGAAATCTTGTACTGATGTTTTCTCTGGGTGTTTAGATGCCCTAAGAGGCAATTAGAACTAAGAACTGGCAAAATCTTAGCTAAAGGAGACCTTTGATTAAAGCTGTGTTAGGCCATGTTAACCCTTTACTAAGTTAGCCAGATTTTAACAGGCTGCACCAGAACAGTTTCTGATGTTCATTCAGTGGTCCTGAGAGTAGCATTTTCTGTTAATAAGCTTCACTTAGAAATAAGTAGCTATTCTAAAACAGTGAGTAATTTTGTTTGCCAAAGCCTCGGCCTCCCAGGACCTATGACACATCTTTGGAAAGCACATTTAGAGCAGGCCTAGCTCTCTCGATTTTTACAGTTTGCTGCCGTCCTTGGGAAGAAACGCAAAGGAAACTGGTCCTCTGTGAATACAGTGTGTTGATTATGAGTCCTTTTTTAAAAATCAAGATATAATTCAATTCACATGCTGTAACACTCGCCCTTTTAAAGTATATAGTTCTGTGGTTTCTAGTATGTTGGGAAGGTTTTACAAAGTATTAGCCCTAATTCCAGAATATTTTCATCGCCTCAAAAAGAAACTGTGTAGCCTTGAGCAGTCATTCCCCATCCCCTCTGCTTGAGCCACTAATCTACTTTCTTTTTGGGGTTTGTTTTTTGTTTGTTTGTTTGTTTGTTTTTTGAGACAGGTCCTCACTCTGTCACTCAGCCTGGAGTGTAGTGGCACCATCTCTGCTCACTGCAACCTCTGCCTCCTGGGTAGCTGGGATTACAGGCACTTACCACCACGCTCAGCTAATTTTTGTATTTTTAGTAGAGATGGGGTTTCACCATCTTTGCCCAATAGCTGGGATTACAGGCACTCACCACCATGCTCAGCTGATTTTTGTATTTTTAGTAGACACGGGGTTTCACCAGCTTTGCCAGGCTAGTCTTGAACTCCTGACCTCGTGATCCACCCGCCTTGGCCTCCCACAGTGGTGGGATTACAGGCATGAGCCACCGCGCCTGGCCTAGAGCCACAATCTACTTTCTACCGAAAGTTCTTTTGTATGTTACAGTGAAATCTCCTGTCTCTAACTTAGTAGCTAGATGATTTGGGGGGCGGTGGTGCTTCACAAATAAACTCTTAAGGTTGATTTTCAACTTCTCACAGGAATAATATCTTTGTTTCTTATTTTCTATTTATCACTTCCAGGCCCCTGTGAAAAGGGAAAGGTGCTCTGCCTAGCCTCTGAGTCCACTTCACTTTTACTGCTTATAATAAAATTTACCAGTTATCTAAAATACTAAATGTGCATTAATGTGCAAGAAGTTGAGTCTGATCTGATAATGAAATGAGTTTATGGCAACCACCCTTTTGAATGCCAAGGCTAGAATCACCTGCAAGAGCGCTACAGTTCCTCTCAACCTTTCTGTTCTTTAACTTTTAGAATAGTTAGAATTCAAATCATGTAGGACTTTGTCGGTCAAAACCAGAAAAACAAGTAGTTTGGATAGATGGCAGGCTTGGATATGTATGTGTCAAATATGTCTTAAATAAATACTTTGGATTCCTGCTCATGGCACTAGTGTGAAATCCTTAAGTTTGAGAGTTTGGAAGGCAAATGGGGATTGATTTAAAGGGAGAGGAGAAGTACGAGTTCTTAGCAGTTTTCCTTGACTATAGTGGAAAGAGTAAGACATTGAGAAGCGTTAACGAAATGGGAGGTATGTAAGGGAACCACTGGGGGAACCTATGGACTGCTCACTGGGTGCCTTGGCTGGTAACACAAATTTACTAGCTGAAGGATTTTGTCTTTGTTGCTTAGCTCTCTTGGACTGCCACAGAATGGCTTAAAAAATGGAAGTACTAGACCTTCTCCCAAAGCCTCCACTGTGTGTTTGTGTAGCTCTGTTTTTCAGTCTGCGTATTATGTGTGACTCTCTTTGTAGAATTGCTCAGCAAGCAGTACCAAAAGCTGGTATACCTCCTCTAGGGCCACAGTGATGGGGAGCAGGGAGGGTGGACTCCATAGAAACTGTGGATATTAGAGTGTGTGGATGTTGGGGAAGCTGGTGAGTATATACAGAAATCGAAACTGCCAGAGTTGGGATTGATTGTCGGAGCCTTTTACAGTAAGAGGTGGTAATTGTTTAATGTGGGTGCCCTTTTGTCTTCTGCTGGTCTGGTTCTCTTGGAATATTATAAATGACAGGTGCTGGAGGCTTGGAATTCATGTGGCTCTTCCTCCCTCGATTGACAGATAAAACAGAAATGCATTATTTGGTATAAATGAATCAAAATGTTGTGGTTTAAAAAGTTCTTTAAATAGAATTGAGTTTGTTTGAAACACGGATGCCCTTTTTGAAAAGGTTAATTTCCTTCAAAGATGGTTAGGCTTTTCTGTTTAGACAGAATAATAATAAGCCTAATCTATTAAAACATTTTTTTCAGGGAGAGAGGAGGGTATCTACAGAAGAATGTTTTCATCTCCATTGAATAATGCTTGGACTCCCTTCTCTTCTGTTTTTAAAATTCACGAATCCCTCTTATTGACTTTATCTCTAAAAAATTCCGAGTAGGGAAATAAAGTGAAAAATAAAGCCCCTCTCACCCACCTTTACCCCTCACCCCTAGATTCCCACTACCTCCTAATAACTAGTTTTCAGCCATTTGGTGTAATTTTTTTTCTAGTAATTATTCAGCTATTCAGTGAACATGTGTCCATGTACATTTGTAATGCCTTTTATTTTTTATTTTATTTATTATTTTGAGACAACATAATCTCTGTCAGCTCTGTCACCCAGGCTGGTGTGCAGTGGCATGATCTCAGCTCACTGCAACCTCCGTCTTCTAGGTTCAAGTGATCCTCTTGCCCTAGCCTCCCGAGTAGCTGGAACCACAGGCATGGGCCACGATGCTTGGCTAATTTTTTGTATTTTTGATAGAGACAGGATTTTGCCATGCTGCCCAGTCTGGTCTCAACTCTTGAGCTCAAAGTGATCCACACACCTCTGCCTCCCAAAGTGCTAGGATTACATGTGGAAGTCACTACCTGGCCCATAATGCCTTTTTAATGGCATATCCAAACCCTTTAGGTGACATTATAAAGAGGTGATGTAATTTTACTTTTAAGTGAGTTGAGCTCTGCTCCAGTAAAAAAATGTTGCCCAGGTATTTTAATTGTAAACCTTCGAGATGTAGCAACCTGTGAGAGTTATCATGAATTGGTGTACATAGCACAGGACTGGACCCGTCTGCTACATTAGAAGGATCTTTCTGTATTCTAGTTATTGATTCGGTACAGTTTCATAAAAACTGCAATGTGATCTTTGCTAATTTCTTTGAAATATCACTTTAAGAATAAGGACCACACATAGTGAAGGGGGGCCTCTTTGGCATAATAGTAATATTCATTTCTATAGACTCTGCTGAATTCCTCTGTTTTGCATTTCTTGAGTGTGTTGGTTCACAGCTAAAAATAGAGCTCTATTTAAAACGGGGTACCCTTTCCGGAAATAAGAACTATATTTTAATTAGTAAATTTCCTGTTTCCCTAACGTGTTTTGTTTTGTTCTTTCCTTTTTTTTTTTTTTAAACAGCAAGCCAGGGCTGAGCAGGAAGAAGAATTCATTAGTAACACTTTATTCAAGAAAATTCAGGCTTTGCAGAAGGAGAAAGAAACACTTGCTGTAAATTATGAGAAAGAAGAAGAGTTCCTCACTAATGAGCTCTCCAGAAAATTGATGCAGGTAAATTATCTTTTCTACTCCCTCATCTTCCCTGCCTGTTTTCCTCTCTAGGAGAAAATGACTTTGATATGGCACTTTACTTGTAACATTTGCTGATGAGGTTGTAGCTTAAGTTCTTTGGAGATTCACAATACCAGGTAAGGGTGGCAATGGTGTAATAGTCAAGACTGTGGTTTTCTAGCTCATCTGCGTATGTTAGGTAAGCTATTTTGTACCCTGAGCATTTCTAAAACATTGCTGATGAGCACAAGATCTTGGCATGAGATGTTGAATGTAGCATTTTGGAAGTATGGGGACTAATGCCAAATGTGAAATTTTTCTCCTTTTATGTTGAGTCGATAATAAGTACATAAACTTTTTGGCAGTCATAGGTGGGTCTTTTGCACTAAAATATGAGGATATAAAGTGAAACATCTTTAGGAAATAGAAAGGTATCCATGATAGTTAAAACTACCCGCAATCAACCATGTTCAAATGGGTAATATGTTACTGAACAAATATCAGACTGCTATTAAAACTCAACGTTGATCACAAGTAATATATAGAAGGTGCCACACACAACATACAGGAAGGTTTGATTTCTCTACTTCAGAGGCTCATTCTCTCCCCCTCCTTTTTTTCCCCCCCTTCAAACCTTACTGGTAAAATACAAAGTAAAATTTGCTTAGGGGAAATATCTTGTGGCTTAGTATGAACTTAAAAATAAGTGGGATATTGAGTTTTCATTATTTAACATAGCTTGTCCAAAATAGTGAGGAGGTATACAATTATCAGAACATTATTACCATTTTGTCTTTAGATGTCTGTGAAACAACCCCATATATATATTTTGACATCATCAATAACAATTTCATTAATTTGCTTAAAGAATATATATTAGTGAGGTCGTAATAAGAAGTTATTTGAGGCTTTCAAAAAAATCTTCCTAAGTTATTTTCTTACCTCGCCACATAGATGATCCTGTAAGAGGATACTGGAAACTCTGATGAAGAAACTTTAATGTTAAGACCATAACATGTTCCAGGCAGCTTTTACCCCTGTCTTTCTATTAGTCTCATTTTTCTACCTAATTACTGAATAAAGATACTGTTAATCTTGCACAAGAGTTGGTTTATATGGTAGTTCCTGAAATGTGAAGAACAGGTACCCAGGCATTACTGTCTAGCAGAGATTTTTGGCAACATTTTTGTACTGAAAGTTTTCGTTTACTCATTTGCATTGTGATTTAGAGAGAAATGGATGGAGAAGGTTAGTTTGACCTTTTAGTATATCCCTCTGGGGCAGCATTAAATGACTTATTTTACCTGGTGCTTCTAGAATCATGGGGATGTAATTATGGTTTGTTTTTCCTAAGTGTATGCGTAATCAGGTGCCATAATTTTTGACACTGCAAGAAACTTTTTTTTTTTTTTCCAATTTACATGGTGGTTTTTTGGAGTCTTTAGCCAAAGTACATTATAGGACAGTCAAGACCTAGCCAGATCATCTTCCTTTTCTTTATTATATATCTCCAGCATGAGTGATTGTATAGTCTGCAATTGGCCTCTCATTCACTCATGTAACCCACCTACCTCCCAAGGATATTGATGTTCCTTAAAATAAGATACTGAAAAAGAATGAAAACATAAGAACATAAGAATGAAAACATAAAAAAGAATGAAAACATAAGAACATAATGCAACAGCAAAGGAAGTTATTTATAGTTGTATACTTGGTGTAAGAAGGCTTGAACTTAAAATTGAAGCTCTAAGCATCCTCTGAATATTGCTATGATGTAGAAATGTAGTGACCGTGTTTTCATAATTCTTATATCTAAAACAGTGTATCTTGGTCAGGAGAAAAAAAGGTCATAGACTAAAAACTTGGAAACATTTTTCAGTGGATAGTGGATCTTTCTAAAGGGATTGAATGGTATATAAACTGAACAAAATAAACTGTTTTTGCCAAAAGTGGTATACAATGTGTAGCTATAGCCTTCAAGCGGGCCTGTCTTGTGTTTGCCTTCATCCAAAAGTAAGGGCATAGTATGAAGGTGTGATTCTGTGAAAACATTGTTTGGGGATCTCTAGATGGGTCTGTAGCTTGTTGGTGATTCAGCTTGTAGAATCTGGACAGATGGATGGTTAGCATGTCCCTGAGACAATTTGTCATGCATTCCAGCTTGGTTTTTAGGCTTTTTATTTTAATGTTGTGGTAAAATTTACATAACATAAAATTTACCATTTTGGCCATTTTTGAGTGTGCAATTCAGTGGCGTTAAGCATTTTCACCTTGTTGTGCAGCCGTCACCACCATCCATCTCCAGAACTTTTTCAAACTGGAACTCTGTGCCCATTAAACAATAATGCCCATTCCCTTCCCCTGGTCTTTAGGTGTTTGAAAGGAGATGGATAGCAGGTAGTTTTAGGTTCAGGTCTCTGGCAAGTTCTGAAGCTGTTGCCATTCTGAGGCATGATAGGAGATCTGTTGCCTTAGATACCAGGTATCACAACATGTCTATTTTTTGTTAAGTGCCTAAGAACCTGCCCTCCATTGTTGGCCAATTGAGGGATATCATAGCTGCAGCAGGGGAAGGGCTGTTCAGCCTATGATGCTTATCCCTCAGGCTCCCAATATGTATTTCCTTAATAGGTTTAACCAGTCTTTTGTTGAATGCCCACATTTTCTGCCACCCAGCATGGAAATACTGTTTTCCATCTGGAAGATTTTTGGACTACTTGATACCAATAGACTTTTTCAACTACGTAATTATTTTAATATTGCTTTCTAGGATGTTTGTTTCTGCATAGGACCTTGCTAAAAAAAAGCCTGCTAAGAGAAATCATGCTACAAGTGTCACCCACAGACAGATGGGTGCATTGACCTGTTCACTATGAAAGTGTTCAACATTTTTCACCCAAAGGCCGCTGAGAGGCTATGGACAGATCAATTTTTGTTTTGTCAGAGTGCTTTGACTTTTATTTCTGATACTGATTGGACAATGCTTTTATGTGCATTTCAAAGGGATTCTTTGATCCTGAGAACAAAATGAGACTTGCTATAGAAGAGACATGTCCCTTCCTGTCTGCTATGGCCAAGTTGGGTATCCAATACCTTTAAAAAATGAAATCAAGTTTAATTCAGTATACATGAGAGTAAATCCCTTTGCCCTTTAAAAGATCCATTTTGGGAGATGGCTTAAACACCTCCATATGTTTTCATCCTCACCAACAGGAAAACACACACAAAAGGGAGCATGCAGCTCTTCTCCCTTGCTTTGGTGTCTATCGAGTACAGACACAACATTGTATCTTTATCTCATGAGAACTCTTGACTGAGAAGTCTACAACTTTCTGAGCCCAGGCCATGGGATTCACTACCTGTTTAGTGAGACATTGTTCCAAAAAGATCTCCATTACTTTTGTTTAACATGAACCTACATTAGAGCTAAATTCTACTCTCGAATGCCTTGAAGACAGGTTGTGCTTTAATCATTATTTGTAATTAAAACCTATAAGAAGCATTTGTGAGCAAACTTATCAGAATTTTATATACAGGCTGAGCGTGGTGGCTCACGCCTGTAATCTCAGCACTTTGGGAGGCCAAGGTGGGTGGATTACTTTGATGCCAGGAGTATAAGACCAGCCTGGCCAACATGGCGAAACCCCGTCTCTACTAAAAATACAAAAAATTAGTTGAGTGTGGTGGCACACGCCTGTAATCTCAGCTACTCAGGAGGCTGGGGCAGGATAATTGCTTGAACCCAGGAGGCAGAGGTTGCAGTGAGCTGAGCTCATGCTGCTGCACTCCAGCCTGGGGGACAGAGTGAGACTCTGTGTCAAAGAAAGAATTTAATATACAGTAAGTCCTCACTTAATGTTGCCAGTAAGTTCTTAGAAACTGTGTCTTTAAGTGAAATGACGTATAATGAATCTTATTTATTTCTTTGTTTATTTTTGAGATGGAGTCTCACTCTGTCACCTAGGCTGGAGTACAGTGGTGTGATCTCGGTTCACCTTCTGAGTAGCTGGGATTACAGGCACTCGCCGCCATGCCCGGCTAATTTTTGTATTTTTAGTAAAGACAGGATTTCACCACATTGGCCAGGCTGGTCTTGAACTCCTGACCTCAAGTGATCTGCATGCCTTGGCATCCCAAAGTGTTGGAATTACAGGTGTGAGCCACCACTCCCGGCCTAGAAATTTTTTTTAAAAATGAAAAGAATAGAGGACTAGTAGAGTGAATCATACAAAGACTGACAAGACAGTTAAGCTAATCATTAGAGCATTCTGATTATACTAGTTCTTAATGATGTGGGCAGTCCAGAATCTCCTGCCACTTGCAAATGAGCCTGACTCTGCAGGAGGCTTCATGCACTGCTGCCCATGACAAAGAGATGCTACTAGCATAGCAGGACTCTGAGCTCTCTAAGTCAAAGACACAGAAGGAGGTGGTTTCAAAAGGTAAGGACAAACCAGGCACCAGAATTGTAAAATTTCCTTTTCAAGAAATAAGATGTTTTCTACTCACAAAAGTATCATGTTGCTGTTACAAAATTAGAAGGAATAGGGCACAAAGAAAATAAGATAACCTGTAAGTTCAGCACCCAAGTATAATTACTCTATAACATTCTGAAGAATGGCCTTTTAGACTCCCAGCTACTCGGGAGACTGAGGCAGGAGAATGGCGTGAACCCGGGAGGCGGAGCTTGCAGTGAGCCGAGATCGCGTCGCTGCACTCCAGCCTGGGCGACAGAGCGAGACTTGGTCTCAAAAAAAAAAAAAAATTCTAATTCTCCTGGCAAACTCTTAACCACCAATCACAAATGCCTACTGGAAGACTTATCAATTATCTCAGACACTGAGATTGATAATGGTCTTAGGAATTGTGGATTTTCCCACCTGCTTTTATGCAGGGCCAAAGCCTCAACTTGACTTTCTGCTCTTTGGGAGCACACTCAGCTTGTTCTGAACTGTCTACACTGTTCTCAACAAATACCACTACCAAAAGTTAATAAACTC